AAATGGAAAAAATGAGGAGGTACAAGAGATGATCAGAAAATTTCAAAGATCAGCTCAAGAAGATAAAGCCAAATATTACAACAAAATGTGCAAAGACCTGGAATCAGAAAACCAAAAAGGAAGAACACGATCAGCATTCCTCAAGCTGGGGGAAACGAAGAAAAAAGTCAAGCCTCGACTTTCATTTTTGATTCTCTGGGCAAATTATTGAATGACGAAGAAAGCTCAAGAGAAGATGGAAGAAATACACAGAGTCACTATACCTAAAGGAAATGGTTAATGTTCAGCCATTTCAAGAGGTAGCATATGATCAAGAGACAATGATACTTAAGGAGGAAGTCCAAGGTGCATTGAAGGAATTGGCTAAGAACAAGGCACTGGGAATTGATGGATTACAAATTGAAATGTTTCAAGAAAGTGAGGCAGCACAGGAGGCACTCACTCATTTCTGCCAAGAAATTTGGAAGACGACTATCTGGTCAACTGATTGGAAGAGATCTATATTTGTGCCCATTCCAAAGGGAGGTGACCCAATGGAATGTGGAAATCATCAGACAATCTCTGTGACATTCATGCAAGTAAAGTTTTACTAAAGGTAATACAGAAACAGCTGCAAGCATACATTGACAGAGTACTTCCAGAGGTTCAAACTGGATTCCGAAGAGGCTGTGGAATGAGAGATATCATTGCTGATGTCCGATGGATCTTGGCTGAAAGCAGAAAATGTCAGAAAGATGTTTACCTGTGCTTTATTGACTATGCAAATGCTTTCGATTGTGTGGATCATGACAAGCTATGGACAACATTGCAAAGTATAAGTATTCTGGGAACACTTAATTGTGCTCATGAGGAATCTGTACCTGGACAAAGAGGCAATTTTCAAACAGAACATGGGAAAACTGAGTGGTTTAAAATCAAGAAAGGTTTGCAACAAGGTTGTATTCTTTCACCATACTTATTCAACCTGTTTGCTGAGCAAGTAATATGAGAAGCTGGGTTATATGAAGAAGAATGTGGCATCAGGATTGGAGGAAAACTCATCAACAACCTGCGATATGCTGATGATACAACCTTCCTTGCTGAAAATGAAGAGCACTTAAAACATTTATGGATGAAGAACACAGAGCATAGCCTTCAGTATGGATTACATCTCTGGGTAAAGAAAACAAAAATCCTCACCACTGGATCAATATACAACATTCTTATCAATAGAGAAAATATTGAAGTTGTCAAGGTCTTCATTCTTCTTGGATCAACTATCAACACTCACAGAAGCAGAAGACAAGAAATCTTATGACTTATTGCATTAGGTATGTCTTCACTCATAGCGATTCTATGCACAGAAGAATGAATTCTTATAATCATTGTAGTGCTTGATTCCATTGCTGTTGCCTCTGCTTAGTCCATCTTGTTAGGGGTTTTCCTCTTTTTCACTGCCCCTGCATTTTATAAAGCATGATGTCCTTCTTCAGGTTTCTCTCCTGATAACATGTCTCAAGTATGTGAGGCCAGTCTTACGATCCTGGCTTCTATGGAGCATCTAGGTGTACTTCTTCCCACACAGATTTTTTTTGTTCTTCTGACATTGCATGGTAATTTTAATATTCTTTTCCAACACTATAACTCAAATGAATCTCTTCTTCTATGGTCTTCCTTATTCCTTGTATAACTTTCACATGCATATGAGGCTATTGAAAATACCATACGTTGGGTCAGGCACACCTTAGTGCTCAAACTTATATCTTTGTTCCTGAGTTCTTTAAAGAGGTCTTGTGCAGCAGATTTGCCTTGTGGAATGCATTTGCTTTCTTGACTGCGGTTTCCATTAGTGTTCATAGTGGATCTAAGCAAAATGAAGTCAACAACTTTAGTCTTTTCTCCATTTTTCATGATGATATTTATTTGTCCAGTAGTGAGGATTTTTGTTTTCTTTACACTGAGGTGCAACCCATACCAAGGGCTGTGGCCTTTGATCTTCATCAGTAAGCATTTTATGTCCTCTTTATTTTCAGCAAGCCATGTTGTGTCATCTGCATATAGCAAGTTGTTAAT